AGTATCACCAAAGTCGCAGAAAAGTAGTGCTGGAACTGTTTTTCTGCCAAGGCGCTCCGACTTGAGTTGCATTGATTAGGACGGCACCAATTGAAATGAATGAGTTTTGACTTGTTGTGCAACTTTATGTGTCGCAAGTCACATGATAAGTCGCAGCAGTATGAACCAGCGCTAAATCTTAAATTTTTAGCTGTTACTACAACTTAGTTGTTACTGGAACAGGCGATAGGGAGAACACTCCATATATCGACATCTGTGTCAGTGGGAAACCTCTTAAAAGTGAAATTTCTTTCACTTCAGGGATATGTTTCTTACTTTCTCCTATGTTGCTGGGATAGGAAATAAAGGCAAGACAAACAGGAAGAAAATATTGAAGTTTGAACTCTTCTCCATTCCCCAAAACTAGTAGAATTTTTTTTTTGGCGTTCCACTTAGTTAAAATGGCTTATCTAAGCATGGTTTTCTGATATTGTTCCTAGATGGAGGCATCCCTTTCAGTATTCATCCCAAAACCATCCCAAATTCAGCTCTTGCAAGACATTTCACATGGAAACCCGTCACAGCTTCTGAATTTAAAACTTTTTGGGGCCTAACCCCAAACATGGGTATTGCAAAAAATAATGAATTGCGGTTATATTGTCCCACAGACCCAAACCATCATATGCCCATGTTCTCTGCTGTTACATATATGTCCAACATGGACCAGAAACATACTGGTACGCCGCTGGACTTGGTGCAGAGCATTGGAGCCTTGGACTGGTTATACCGGGATGATACCTGCACCTACAGACATCATCCTGGTATAATTTTTTTTTTTTCAGCTGGGGGTCAGATTTCATGTAAAAACAATCCTAGCCACTAATTGGCAGATGGATTACTGTTACAAACAGCAGGAAGGGACTCCCCCACCCATCACCTTCCAAGGTTTTCTTGGGCTCTCCTGTCCCATCTGGAAATCCAAAAATGCAGCCCGCAGTTCCGCTGTCTGACAATTGAGCTGATTGGATACTGGAATGCCTCCAATCATCTCTATGGTCTAAGAGACTGGGAGCTACTAGCATTTCATCATTTCATATAAGCAGCGCCATTTTAAAATTGGGAATGCATCGATCTTGGTGTGATCAGATACTTTAAGGGCAGAGGAGAGATCTAGAGTCTAATAGACCACAGATTTCTCAGAAAAGAATACCTGTCACTGCCTATTCCTGTCGCAGGGGATATTTACATTCCCTATGATAACAATAAAAGTGATAAAAAAAATGAAAGGGACAGTGTAAAAATAATAAAAAAAAGCAAAATAATAATTAAAAAAAGTCACCCCTATCCCCGTGCTCGCACACAAAGGCAAAAACGCAAGCGGCGGTCCCATGGCAATATGTAAACAGAATGAACCATGCATGTGAGGTATCACCGCATATGTCAGATATGTCAGTAATTCTAGCACTAGACCTCTTGTGTAAATCTAAATTGGTGACCTGTTGCCTAGGATATTACGAATTTACATAATTTTCAAAAACCTGTGACAAATGATATCTGCAAAATACTCGCCATGCCTCTTATCAAATTTCTTTTGGTGTCTACTTTCTAAAAAGGGGTCATTTTGGGGGCTGTTTGTACTATCCTGGCATTTTAAGGCCTCCGAATCCTGTGATAGGTAGTGAGGAAGTCATATGAGGATATATGCCCTTTGAAAGCCTTGAGATGGTCATTGGCTATTGCGGGCATATATGTGGCTAGGCTGCCAAAAAGTCTCTCACATGTGGTATCCCCATACTTTAGCAGAATGTGTTTTGGGGTGTTATTTCCACATATACCCATGGTATGCATAAGCAATATATAATTTGACAACTTTGTGGGGGGGGGAATTGTAATTTTCCAAAAATTTGTGGCAAAAAATAAAATGTTCCATGGACTCAACTTGCCTCTCAGCAAATTCCTTGGGGTGTCTACTTTCCAAAAAATGGTCAATTGGGGGGGGGGGTTGTACTGCCCTGGCACTTTAGCACCTCATGAAATGTGATAGGCAGTCAGAAAAGAAAGCATAAATTCCAATATACTGCATATACCATAGTTTGTAGACGTTATAACTTTCACACAAACCAATTAATATACATGTATTAGAATTTTTTTTTACCAAAGACTTGTAGCAGAATACAGTTTTGCCTAAATGTATGACTAACTTAGAGTTTACTATATATTTTTTTATAACTGAAAAAAAATTTTTTTTTTTTTCCAAATTTTCAGTCTTTTTCATTTATATCACAAATAAAAACCCATTGGTGACCAAATATCGCCAAAAGAAAGTTCTATTTGTGTGGAAAAAAAGGACATAAATTTAATTTGGGTACAGAATTGCATGACTGCACAATTACCAGTTAAAACAGCACAGTGCTGAATAGCAAAAAATGGCCAGGTCATTAAGGGGGGGTAAATCTTCCGGAGGGCATGTGGTTAAAAGATAAAATTTGTCACCATGTTTAGAGTGAGTAGACATTCCAATTTAAATATACCCAATGTTGTTATTAAAAACAGCATTTAGGTAAATTTAATATGTCTTTTCACTTTTCTCTATATACTGATAATTTGAATTCTAAAGCTATCATTACCTGCTGCTCTCTGTATTGTCTATATGGGCTTTTTGGAGTATAACTGACGATAAAATATCATTCACACAAGTAAAAAAGGGGGGTTATTCACAAGAGACCAATGAGTGCAAAGGGCATTCACAATATCAACCAGTCAAAAATAATTTTCTAAATGATCAAATTTTATCCTGGTTGGTTGCTATGACTAAGGCCTTTTACATGGTCTTATTGCACCTATTGAATAAAAGTATATACTGTGCACTAATGTTCTGTCCACAAAAGCAGAATGCTTTAAGATTTTATGCTAAAAGCTTGTTTTTACGAAACAAGCAAAAATCTTGAGGATTAACTATTCAGTGGTTTGTTATTCATACCGATAACAATCTTCTTTCAACCTGCTTTATTATGTGGGACTCCAGTGCAAGCTTTCTTGTAGCTATGGATAGCGCTGGGAATGGACAGAATCTGCTGGATTTTATTTGTGTACTGTATGTGTTCTTGTCAGGGACATGTACTATATTCTAGATTCCTGTGTGTCTAACGCTTTCTCGTTCTATCCCAAGTCAGGGATTTTACAACACATACATAACAAAAATGCAAAACTGGATTGTATTTAAGGTAAACTTGTACAGAAAAAAATATAGAAGTTGCTATTATTGACCTCATCTGCCTACTTGTTCTAGGTTGGTGATTCAAGTGATTCAGATGTACTAGAATCAAAGGATCAGCAAGACAGGCAGGGAATTTGTATATAGAGATGAGGGGTCAGGAATGACAGTTTCGGTCCTCAGTACAAGTTTCCTTTAACAAACCATATGGTCTAAATATAGATGCATGGCATTGAGTTGTTAAAACAGATATATGCTGATCTGTGATTGGACTGTTCAAGGTCCTGAACATCAGTGCTTTGTACATCTTATTGATGGATAGAATGAAATGATTTAGGCCTCTTTCACACCGACGATCCGATCGGGTCCGCCTGTCAGTTTTTCATGCAGACCCAATCTGACCATCCATAGCCCTCAATGGACCGGCGGTGTCCATTGACACCCGCCGGCATCCGATCTGATCCTGTGCACTAAAAATAGATGGATGGGGATCCATTCCCCATCCATCCAGGAGATTGAATCAAATGACAGTCGGGTGGAAACGGACAGGAGGTCCGTTTCCATCTGATCACCCCATAGAAAACAGTGGGCTGTGTCTGCTCTGCAGGACACAGTCCTGTCATTTGCTTGCTCAGCAGGGATTAGTGGAGAGTTCCCTGCTGAGCAGGCGGGTCAGCTGACAAGTCCTCCCCATCTGAAAGGGGTCTCAGGCTGCTGCAAACATACATACTCAGGCATAAATCTTTATGAGATGTATCTTGGTGGTTTGGTTGTACATGTGTGTCTGACCTCCATATGACATCTATCGGGTCTAATTATTAAGGTTTTCACCCAACATCTACACAACTTTTATTCAAGATTCACACATTTTATAGCTGAGTAAAGAAAAGTATAGTAAAGTGGTTGCAAGGACTCAAAGTTTTTACTTTCATGCATTCATGCAAAAAAAATCTGTGTGCCGCAGCCCCCCTAAAACTTACCTGAGCCCCATTTAAATCCAGCAATGTTTATGAGAGCCTCAGCTCTCCCAGGTTTCTCTCGCCTCATTGGCTCATACAGCAGTGGAAGCCATTGGCTACCGCTACTGTCAATCATAGGCAGCAAGCCAATGAGGAGAGAGCAGGGGATGGGGACAAGCAGTGCTGCATTTGTGAATGGACACACAGAGCAGCAGTTCAGGAGCAAGCTTGCTTGGGTTCCCCCATGGCAAGCTGCTTGCTATGAGGGCATTAGGAAGGAGAGTGGGGCCAGGAGCACCAGCGGGATGGATTGGGGTTGCTCTGTGCAAAACCATTGCTCAGAGCTGGTAAGTATGACATGTTTGTAATTTTTAAACCAAAACAAGATCTGCCTTTAATATCACTTTAAGTTCAAACTGGGTGCATGTTGGGTGAACATTGTATAAATCTACATTTATCTAAAAACATTGATTAATAGACCCCACAGATGTCATATGGAGGTCAAAGACACAGGTACGACCAACCACAAAGAGATCTTTTCATAAAAAGCTATGCCTGACTGTATGTTTATACCTATGATGAAGGGAGGGGTCGCACTGAAAGGGACTATCTTCAGTCTTACACAATAGCAATCAACTATGACATGAAACTAAATGATTGCTTCATTGCTAAAAACAATCAGCTAGGGGTGTCTAATTACAGTACCCATTGACATAAAATGTCCAATTTGACTATAAATGGCTGGATATGGTAACTATTATCATATGTCTCTGTGTGCCTTTAATGAGGTTTAAAGATTTTACAGTTTCCTTCAGTTTTAAATTTGTTGCAGTGAAAGCTTGGATCTGACCTCTCACTAACAATTACTTTTGGTTTTCCTCCAAGGTGTCCATGTGTTCGGACTTTGCTCTACAGCTCTCATTACAGATATCATCCAGCTCTCCACTGGATACCAGACCCCTTATTTCCTGACAGTCTGTAAACCCAACTACACATCCCTAAATGTGTCCTGCAAAGAAAATCCATACGTGCTGGAAGACATTTGCTCAGGGCAAGATCTTGCTGTCATTAATGCTGGCAGGTAAAGGTTGAATATATATGATGCGGCATTTTGATATGTGGAAAAACCTGATGACTGTCTTGTATTTGAAAAATGGTGATGGCACCTTGCTCATTATTAGGACAAGCAAGTACAGTCATATATATTGCATATATAAAAGTGTCCTGCCACAAGCAACTTGTTTGGTTTCAGAATGATTTTTGTTATAGTTAATAGGTTCTTAATGCATTATAAATAAAATGTTAGACATGTCCTGTAAATCATACACCCCTTAAGCTAAAAAGCACAATATCAGAGGGAACATAAAAGAAGATAGTTGGATACCTAATGTTGATATAAATAAGATAAGCTATAACATGCACTTTGCAATTAGCCCCTGGGAAACCAAACATCACTACAGATGTAACATGATATCAAAAGGTCAGTTAGTGGGAATAAAATAATAGGAGGTATCAAAATGACCACACTGTGATCGTGACATGAACCCATGACAACGACATTTACAATGTTACTACTGGGAGGAACCACCTAATATTCAGTAAATTAAAAATAGTTTTTTTTTTTTTCTGTCTAAACTCCAGGGTAAGATCATTTTGAGTGTATTGTGAGATGGGGAAAGGTCTTCAGGATGTTTGCTCTGGACACATATGATGTCCTGGTATGAACTTTGTTAGGTATTTAAAAAAAATGTTCCTGTTTTTACTTATGCTAATTCTAACGATAATTTTTTCCTGTTTTAACATATGTACTTTGGAAGGGGACCCCCTTTTTTCTGGAAACCTCTCTTCAAAGACCACTAATCCCAAAAGTTATGCACGCTAATATCAACAAAGCTGGGGACAGAATACTCGCTGTCTCTTGAAATAGGGATACCATAACTGGTGTGTGTTTGTCTGGGAAGGCACACTTTCTTTAGTCTTTTAAAAATAAAAAAAGATATCTGCAAATTCATGGCCTGATGAAAAGCTGTTTTACAACTAATTGTAAATGCAATCACCTAGTATATATTAACCATTAAAAAAAAGAGTAAGACCTCATGCACAATGGGCATGAAAAAAATGCTGCTTATAGCCTATGTGTCAGTGCACATATGGGCTTTTACAGGCATATTTGAAGAGTGTAACGTTGATCTACTCCTGTTGTTACAAGAGATGGGCTACTGGGAAAGGGGCCCCAAAGGTAATCCTCTCCCTACCGGAGGAAACCTCACCCAGTGCACTTACCACACTTAACAACAGGATGCTTGTACTGACTACTGGCCTTGTTACTCTTGACAACCACGTCCTTCTCTTCTGAACAAGGTTAACTCTTGAAGAGAATGACTCCATATCCCAATGTGCTTTAACTGACCCAAGCTTCAGATGTCTGTGTGTAGTGAGCTGGTTACTTTCATACACCCCATTTAGAATAACTTGAGGACAGGCAGAACAACTTTTAAAGTCTTTACTGGAAAAACTTCAGTGCAACAGTTTAGCAGAACAGTAAGTATTTTCCCTAAATAACCCCAACTGTAGTTGTGGCTTCCCCAGCATACCTGCACAGGTAGAATCCATTATTGGTAAAGTCTAGAATGGCAGAAGTCAACGGTGTCCCATTTGGGTTTATTTACTAAACCTGGAGAGTACAAAGTCAGGCTCACGTCTGCATAGAAACCAATCAGCTTCTAATCTCAGCTTGTTCAGTTAAGCTTTGGCAATGAAACCTGGAAGCTGATTGGTTTCTATGCAGAAGTGAGCCTGACTTTGTACTTTCCAGGTTTAGTAAATAAACCCCAATGAGTCAGTATTCCTCAGAGCGGACTACAACTTCCAGCAGTCTCACTACATGATGGCGGTATGACAGTTCTCTGAGCAGAGTTTACCGGAAGGTAAACTGGTTTAAATCATGAACTTTGCTCCTAAATTGAGAAAGGAATGTAAACTAATTAAAGCTTTCTTGCTGCTATGTAATTGGTTATGTCTCTAAAGGAACTTTAATAAACACTATAATTGTGCTTGTCTTTTGTTGGCAGAAAATCTTTCCCTTCTCAACATGCCACCCTGGCAGCATTCGCAGCTGTTTACATTTCCGTGAGTAGAATCTTCTCTCATTTAAATGCAGAAACATATTTTACTTTGCATTTTTAAAGTGACATTTAATGGCTTGTTTGTTTTTTAGATAAACTATATATATTCAAAGCCAGTCCATAGTCATTTTCTATATCCTAAAATCATAGACTACAAATGTAACATTAACTAAGAGTTAACGTAAGAAGGGTCAAACGTAATTTTTTTTTTTGCTTCTAAATCTAAAAGGATCTTTTTTATTTAAAATTACAATGTATGTCACAAATTATTAGCTCAGCTTTGTCATCACCCTGTCATCCCCACACTCAGAATAGGAAATTTACTTCAAGTACAGTGCCTTGAGAAAGTATTCATACCGTTTGAAATTTTCCACATTTTGTCATGTTACAACCAAAAATATAAATGTATTTTATTGGGATTTTGTGTGATAGACCAACACAAAGTGGCACATAATAGTGAATTGGAAACAAAATGCTAAATGGTTTTCAACATTTTTTACAAATAAATATCTGAAAAGTGTGGTGTGCATTTGTATTCATTCCCCCCTGAGTCAATACTTTGTAGAACCACCTTTGCAGCAATTACAGCTGTATGTCTTTTTGGGGATGTCTCTAACAGCTTTGTACATCTAGAGAGTGAAGTTTTTGCCCATTCTTCTTTGTAAAATAGCTCAAGCTCTGTCAGATTGGATGCAGAGCATCTGTGAATAGCAATTTTCAAGTCTTGCCGCAGATTCTCAATTGGATTTAGGTCTGGACTTTGACTGAGCCATTCTAACACAAGAATATGCTTTGATCTAAACCATTTCATTGTAGTTCTGGCTGTATGTGTATCTGTAATTGCAGCAAAAGGTGGATCTACAAAGTGTTGAATCAGGGGGCCTGAATACAAATGCACAACACACTTTTCAGATATTTATTTGTAAAAACCGTTCGAAAAACCATTTATCATTTTACTTCCACTTCACAATCATGTGCCACTTTGTGTTAGTCTATTACACAAAATCCCAATAAAATAAATTTATATTTTTGGTTGTAACATGACAAAATGTGGAAAATTTCAAGGGGAATGAATACTTTTTCAAGGCACTGTATATCTAAAGTCCAATCAGTTCTATATTCTTTTTTTGTAAAGAATATGGTCAATGTGTATACACTGGTAAAACTTTGATTTTGATATTGATGTAGAAGGAAAGGGTAAAACCGTTGTCAATTTTTACTGCTGTCTGTCCCCACGTTAAAGATTTACCTACACTATTTGTCCTGATGACCATTGTCACAAGACAGAAAATAATGGGTAATACAAAATTGTACAATTGTAACCAGAACAAGAGATAAGGATACATCTTCTAATGTAGAGACTTGTGCATATCACAACTAAGAATAGAATTTATTTTTTTTTTGGAGAGATTTCCTCTCAGTTCCTTTTATATTTTCAGGATAGGAAATGAACTGAAATCTCCCTAAGGCCCCTATCACACGGGACAGGCTCCATTGAGATAAGCAGGGGATTTGTCTGCTGATTCCCTGCTGATCAGAGCAGAGTTGGTGCCTGACAGGTCTGTGTCCCCTCAGTTTCTGCAGAGCATACATAGATAGAGCTTACTCTGCAAGTAGTCAGGTGTAAAGGGACTCTGCTGTTCATTTACACCTGACTGCACCCTCCAATCCGATCTGCCAGGACGGAAGACCGAATCTGACTGGAGGTAAGCGGGTGTAAACGGACACAAGGGATGAATGAAGGATCCAATCAGGTCCACCTGAAAACTGACAGGCAGACCTGATTGGACCCTTGTGTGAAAGGGGCATAAAAAAAATGAACTGATAGTCATTTTTACCCTTCCTTATGTTCTCCAAAACATATAAATACAAGGTTTGCAAATACACTTTAAAACCTTTAATATTATTTTTCCCATCTGTGTCACATTGTCATTACCTGCTCTGTAAACACAACAGGAAATTAAGCTCTCCAAGGTGAGGAAAGTCCCCAGCTAAACAGTTATCACTGGAACAGATTTCTAATTCTGTTCTGGTGACTCAAAGTTTGAATTTTCCCATCACTTTCTCTTCCAATTACAATGGTCACCAGAAGGTCAATCTCCCTGATTACAACACAGACAACAATAAAAATCTGAAAGGGGTTCTAAACCCTCACTACTGTATCCAAAACTTTAAAAAAAAGATTGGCTTCAAAAGCTAGATTGTTCACTAATCAGAAAAATAATTCTTAATCTGGATTCACTGCCATATTAAAGAGTACCCAAATCAAAAAATAAACATTTTAAATATTGCACTGTACCAATCCTACTTTTTTAGGGGGGGGGGGGGGTTACCTGTTGATCTTGCTGTTAACACATTTGGGTTGAGTTACTAAAACTGGAGAGTGCAAAATCGGGTGCAGCTCCAGGTTTTTTTGCTAAAGCTTGACTTAACAAGCTAAAGTTAGAAGCTAATTTGCTACCATGCACAGCTGCACCATATTTTGCACTCTCCAGTTTTAGTAAATCATCTGTGTCCTAGGCTAACAGTGCTCACAAAGTGATTAACTGTACTGTATCTGAAGTTGCAAGGAGTCCAGTGTGAAGGATGGCCTCAGTCGACGCTGGTTTGAGCGGCGTCCATTTCTCCACTACATACAGTTGCAAGAAAAAGTATGTGAACCCCCCCTTGGGATTACGTGGAGTTTTGCATGAATTGGGCATAAAATGTGCTCTGAACGTCATCTAAGTCACAACAATAGAAGAACACAGTCTGCTGAACATAATACTACACAAACATTAGATGTTGCCATGGTTTAATTGCACATAACATGTAAACATTCACAGTGCAGGGAGGAGGAAAAAGTATGTGAACCTTTGGACTTAATAACTGGTTGACCCTCCTTTGGCAGCAATAACCTCAACCAAACATTTCCTGTAGTTGCAGATCAGACTTGCACAACGATCTGGAGTAATTTTGGACCACTCCTCTTCACAAAACTGTTTTAGTGTAGCAATATTCTTGGGGATGTCTGGTGTGAATCGCTCTCTTAAGGTCATGCCACAGCATTTCAATCGGGTTGAGGTCAGGAATCTGACTGGGCCACTCCAGAAGGCGTATTCTGTGCTGTTGCAGCCATTGTTTTGTTGAATTACTTGTATGCTTTGGGTCATTGTCCTGTTGCGTCACCCATCCTCTGCGGAGCTTCAGTTGGCGGACAGATGGTCGTACGTTTTCCTGCAAAATGTCTTGATAAACTCTGGAATTCATTTTCCCATCAATGACAACAAATCCGTCCAGGCCCTGAGGCAGCAAAGCAGCCCCAAACCATGATGCTCCCTCCGCCATGTTTTACAGTGGGGATGAGGTTGTGATGTTGGTGTGCTGTGCCTTTTTTTCTCCACACATAGTGTGTTGTGTGTTCTTCCCAAACAACTCAATCTTGGTTTCATCTGTCCACAGTATATTTTGCCAGTAGTGCTGTGGAACATCCAGGTGCTCTTTTGCAAACTTCAAACGTGCTGCAATATTCTTTTTGGACAGCAATGGCTTCCTCCGTGGTGTCCCTCCCATGTACTCCATTCTTGTTTAATGTTTTCCTTATTGTAGATGTGTCAACAAAAATGTTAGCATGTGCCAGAGATTTCTGTAGGTCTTTAGCTGACACTCTGGGATTCTTCTTTACCTCATGCAGCATTCTGCACTATGCTCTTGCAGTCATTTTTACAGGACGACCACGCCTAGGGAGAGTAGCAACAGTGCTAAACTTTCTCCATTTGTAGACAGTCTGTCTTACCGTGGACACATGAACATCAAGGCTTTTGGAGATACTTTTGTAACCCTTTCCAGCTTCATGCAAGTCAACAATTCTTGATCGTAGGTCTTCTGAGAGCTCTTTTCTGCGTTGCATGGTTCACATCAGACAGTGCTTCTTGAAACCAGTAAACCCAAAACAGGTGTGTGTTTTTTTTAAGGGCAGGACAGCTGTCAGAAACAAATCCAATATCATCACACTGATTGGAGTCAAGGTTGGCTCACTCCTGGCTCCAATTAGCTCTGGGAGAAGTCATTAAGCTAGGGCCTCACATACTTTTTCCTCCCTGCACTGTGAATGTTTACATGTTATGTGCAATTAAACCATGGCAACATCTAATGTTTGTGTAGTATTATGTTCAGCAGACTGTGTTCTTCTATTGTTGTGACTTAGATGACGTTCAGAGCACATTTTATGCCCAATTCATGCAAAACTCCACGTAATCCCAAGGGGTTCACATACTTTTTCTTGCAACTGTAGATGTCACTGGAATCATTCACAGATGCTACTCCCTCTTCCTATACCAGCGGGGTGGTTTCCTCTTGTTCTCTAGCTTGGAGTGCCACCACAAACCATTTCACACATTTTGCTTTAAAGTGAAAATATAATTTATTAAGTGTTTTTTTTCCCTTAGATATAAAGGTTACTTGGTAAAGCATTATTATACTCACCTTTCTGGCAGCCTTGCCTCCTATCTTCCCTCTATTTCATACTAATGGAGGCTACAGCACTGTTATAGAGCTAAGGTAGAAGGCAAACTTTCATCTTGAATTTTTTAGGTGGCTGACATGGTGACTTTAAACAAATGTCAGTATACAGATATACAGTATAGAGGGCTACACTTTACTCACAACAGTTAGCCGCAACGGCATCAAAACATCAGCAAGTAAGCATGTAGGATAAGTGATGCTGTGAGGTCTGTTCATTCTGCACCTGTCTTGTGGAGGTTCTGGACAAAGACCTTATTTTGCATATCAAACATTATTTTAACTTTAGAAGCCATACAAAATCAGACATTGATTGACATAACGACAAGCTTTTAGCTGTGCTGAAAATACATCTCTTTCCCTCCTACAGACAGAACAGCTCAAGCAGGAGAGGCAGGCAGCCAAACCTGCTAACTATCAATTAATGCTTCAGGGAAGGCAGTCATATTCTGTGTACTCCCACACATTAACTAATGCATGCCTGCAGGAAAGCTTTTCAATAAC